TTGTCAATAATAACCCTCATTAATGAGGATAGAGATGGATGTTTTGAGAAAAGATGGAGAATGAATATGAAAGAATGTAGTGTATTTATTAGCTAGATGAGGGTTAATAATGAAAAAATATATACAAAGCGTCATTTATTTGGTTAATTGTTAATAAAGTCAAAATGACATTTAAAAAAAAAGGAGGTAGTATCTATTAATATATAAAAAAAAAAAACAAAGGATTTATTATATATAATATTTTAAAACTTACCAAGAATGTTTAAATTACTTATAAAGAAACTTGTTTTATATGGCTTGATATTACATTTACATTGATATAATTTGATCTCCTATAATCATGCTCCCTAAGTAACTAATAAATTAGATATCCTTGGTATATATATTTCACATGTGACCTTACAATTCGGAAAGAATCAATTGACATTATCCTCATCCACAATTCAACATCATCCTACCGGTTTTTTTGTTAAGAAATTGGTTCGAATATTGCTTTTAAAATCTCATTTTTTTACTCAAATTGCACGTGCTTTTTAACAATTTTTCCTAAATTATTAAGTCAAACAAATTAATTAAGAAGTCAAACATTTTATTTAAGTATTTTTCCAATAACCTTTTTATATATATTAAAAAGAATCATTATTTACTCCTGAAAATGAAACGGATTTTCCTACCAATAAACCGATTTTTTATCAAACAAATTGATCCGAATATTTTTTTAAACCAAATAAATAATCGTCAATTTTTTCCTAAAAATCCAACTGAATTTTCCTAACACTGCACCGAGTTTTTTACCAAACAAATTGAATTGAAAATAATTTTAATAAAAATGGAAACAATTTGTTAATGCTTATGCAACTGTCTCTTTCCTAAATAAAATGATATGAACTTAACCAAAAAAAGAAAAATGATATGAACTTACCAAAATCTCAGTAAAACACATAAGAATCCAAGAAAATCGAAGCATTTAAAATTTGAAAAGTTGCGCATAATTTTTCCTAAATAATTGGATAAGGTGACTTTAAATATCAAAGATGAACCGCTTTTGTTACCAAAAATGTGGACACAATTTTGAATGTACATCCCGTCCAAATATCAGTTTTATTCTAAAATAAAAATTGCACAAGTTTTATCCAATTTACACACTTTTTTTTGAAAGAAAAAATTATTCAATAAGATTGAAAGAATTGATTTAGAATTATACGACTATTTGTTTCCTAAATTCGTATCCAATTTTTACGGTTTTTAAGTTAATTTGTATCTAGAATTGTTTTCATAAATAATTAACATACTTTTTGCATAAAAATCTCCAAATTTTTTACCAAAATATATGATTTAAATTTTGGTAAAAAAATAAAATATGATGCAAAAAAATGGGATTCAAATTCTGCCATAAGAATCTCCAAATTAGTTACCAAAAAAATAGGTTTCAGATTTTGTTACTAAAGATTCAAATGTATTTTTTTTAACATTCCATTTATAGTAAGTCAATTGTTTTATTTATTAGGTCAAACTTTCTATTAATGTATTTTTCCAACAACCTCTTTATATATATATAGATTTGGACATTGTTTCTAAAACTTTGAGATGTTCATGAAGTTTGAGTTTTTAGGCTTATCTTAATGTGGAAAGGTTGAAGTTTGAAATGTGGGAAGAAAATGAAAGCTCTTTCTAATATTTCATTCAAAATTACTTAAGTGTGAGGCTTAAGTTTAGTTTTAAAAGAAAGCAGTTCCGTACTAGAAGAAGGAATTTTTCAGTAGTGCTTTCTAAGAGTTTTAAAGTTTAAATGTTTTATAAAAATTTAAATTATTTTTAAAAATTTAATATTTTCTAAAGATAAGTAAATGGACGCTATAACTTTATTAATAATATAACTTCTTCTCTTAATAATGGCCAATCGCAAAAGAAATTAACCATATTTCTTTTACCATTAAGGTAATGGCATTAAGTTGGATTCATGTCCTTTAGCACTTAAAAATTTGGTACTTTGTGATAAGAATTTACAGTTTTGCTATGAAGCCGACAGTTATCTCTATAGTGGAGTCAACCTTTTATATACAAATATGGTATGGTTTACTTATTGTATATAGAAGGTTGACTCTACTATGGAGCCAACTGTCGGCTTCATAGGAAAACTGTAAGAATTTAATCATGCAAACCTAACAAATTGAGAAGCAAACTTTAGAATGTAGATTCATGAAAGGTAAATTGTACATAAAGTTTTTTTCTCACTCAAATTTCTTTTTATTACACAATAAAAGAAATACATTATGTACAAATTGCCTATATTATTGAAAATGAAATTTAGACATATAACGATGCTTTCCTACTTTCAATGTATAATATAAAAGTGAAAAAATAGATTATCTATCAAATATCTTTAGAGGGACCTCTTATATTTTCTAACAAATCAATGTTCTAAGTAATAGTCAAATATTATTACATAAGCATATAAATTTATAGAAAAGTTCTATATTGACAAATGATTTAAGGTAAGCAGATTACAAAATTAGGGAACAACACTACAATACCAACATTGAAATTTATGTTATGCATAAATATGGGTAAATAGGCTAAATAGGAGCACACCAGAGTACAATAATAATCCCCATCCATAATTGTCTTTCTGCAAGGTGTACACTCAATGGTAGACCATGATGAGTGATACATAAGAATGAAAAAAAAAAAAAAACTCTTGCCGGAGCATGTGAATAATATACTTGCTAAAAAAGAAATAACTTGGCGTTATAATGAAATTGTGGGAGAGAAAATGTTAAATTCATGATTAATGTGATACAAGGTCTGAATCTTGAAGAATATCTCTGAATTGTTCAAGAAATTTAAAGGCCTTTGTCTGGTTTATTTAGATGCAAGAGAAAGATACAACATGGGTTTTTCAAGTTTTGTGTCTCTTGGTGCAAGCATTGGTAATTGAAATTCTCATCTTGTCTCACCTTCTCCATGAAGCTTAATTTCATGTTGGCTCTTGGCAAATGAGTGATTTTTTTTTTTTTTCATCAAACACTTTGGGACATTATTGGAGAAGTCGATTGTACAACAGATAAACCAGTTTGTTGTAAAGTGATATCCATTCATATCCTACATTCAAATTATTCTATAGAAGAAGTTACAAAGTACCAAGGTAACAGTTTATCTTTCTTTTTCTTTCTTCTTCTTTTTTTTTTCTAGGATAACAGAAGACTATGGAAGACAATGTTGAACTTTCTAGAGAAGCACAGCTCAAATTGGATTCTGTGGAGGAATAAATTATAAGAAGAAATGATATCATGAAACAGATATCATAATGTGACCCTCTCGGTTTTCACTAATAATTAAATATGCATACAAAAACATGAACATTGGAGGACTTATCACATTGGGATAGGATCTGTTTGTAAACAACTAAACCAAAATGTTAATGGTGGCATTTTACTACTCAAATGGTTATACCATTTCCCCTGCGTGTCCACACCTCTTGTACTATTATGTCCAGAAATGAATTCCAATTTCCCTTGTGAAAGGATAAGACATTATATTCAAGGTCTATTTCTTCGTAAATAACATATTGGATAAGATTTAGCATATGTTTTGCCAGCAGATTCTCCCTTTTCGCGAATATTAGTTATATTGTCAGTAACAGAGGCTGAGTGGTCAGAGATAGAAGCTGGGTTCAACTTTCTCTGAGTTTGCTCAAGCTATAGCACAATTTTTGTGTTACATACTTTTTATTTTTTTTCTTACGCTCATGCTTTATTGCTACTTATGAGGCTGTTTTTTTCCATAATGTTGACCTCCATTACATCCATTTGTCAGTTTATGCTCATTTTTTAATCTTCAAAATACTATTAACGCCGGTCAATAGTATTATGTGATTCATAACATCCTATAAAGAATTCTCAGCATCTCGCTTCAGAACTTGTTACACTAATGTTTCGACACTTTTGAGTTTATTCTTTAGGTATTTACTACCACATATCTTGTGGCAACTTTTGTTTGCATTCATATGAAAGCATTTACATTCTGTTTTATCCTGATCAGACTTTGTATTTTTGTGGATCCTAAATTCCTTTCGATATGTCTCTCAATACCTTAGAATTCTACGTTAGTAGGAGATTTAAATGTGTAGAGCAAAACAAGAATGAAGTGCTTTTGTAAACGAGAAAGCACAAGATCTTATGACGTAATTTATTTGTGAGAAAACATGGCACTTAACATGGTATTAGACTGCTCTACTTTGTTTATATCCGGACCGATTCATAAAAGTGGGATCGATATCCGGACAAGTCAAATCCAGGACCGTCCCGGACCGCACCCAACCCTACCATAAATAATCAATATATTTATAGATAATCCGAACCTAAATATTTTTGGATTATAAGTAAATTAAATCTATTTGCCACATAGGATCCCGAAGCATGCGAGCCTGCCACATAGGTTCAGCACGTCCTGAATTAATTATATAAGGGAGGATTTTCCAAAACCGTAATCAAGCTAATAGTTTCACAAACTCCAGTGTGACCGGATTGCTTAAGATATGTACCAAAAGAATAGACAATGTTGAATTTGCATATATCGAGGTGATATCAAGTGCAAATATATTGAGGTGATACATTCAAATGGGAACACATGTTAAGATGGAGAAGTGAGTTGAATAACTCAGATTTATGATTCCAATAAATAAATACAAACAAAAAAGATGAAAAAAAAAAAAAAAGTTTGAATTTTATGAAGGTCACTAACCAATTTCCAACGTTAATCAATGTCTGTCAGGTTCCCTATTAGCTGCGATTTCAGGAACTCAAAAAAAACCGAAACCACCAAGAAAATAATCAGAGCTATAAGTAAATCATTTAAAAACTCCATGAAAAACGAAAGTCTCAACAGAATTTAAGCAAAGTCACCGAGTTTTACATCTCATCCCCAAAACACTTGAAAAAATCCAACCACTAGCAATACCAAAACCACGTACCATTTACCAGTTCAAAAAACTCAACAGAAAAAGGACAACAAAACTTCGCACGGAACCAAAATCATCTCTCGAAAACATCTTCACTTGGCGCCCTTCTTGGCAGCAGCCTTGGTGACCTTGGCACCCGAGGCATCCTTCTTCTCGACACTTTTGATGACACCAACAGCAACAGTCTGCCTCATGTCACGAACAGCAAAACGGCCAAGAGGCGGGTACTCGGAAAAGGTCTCGACCACCATAGGCTTTGTGGGAATCATCTTCACAAACCCAGCATCTCCATTCTTCAAGAACTTGGGCTCCTTCTCGAGCTCCTTACCCGATCGCCTGTCAATCTTGGTCACGAGCTCAGCAAACTTGACAGCAATGTGGGAAGTGTGGCAGTCGAGCACCGGTGCATATCCCTGTCCAATCTGCCCAGGATGGTTCATTATGATCACTTGAGAGGTAAAGTTGGCAGCTTCCTTAGCTGGGTCTTCCTTCGAATTTGAAGCCACATAACCACGCTTGAGATCCTTCACAGCAACATTCTTCACATTGAACCCAACATTGTCACCTGGGAGAGCTTCCTGCATAGCCTCATGATGCATCTCGACCGATTTAACTTCAGTGGTCAGACCAGATGGGCCGAAAGTCACCACCATTCCAGGCTTCAGTATACCTGTCTCCACACGACCAACAGGCACAGTTCCAATACCACCAATCTTGTACACATCCTGAAGAGGGAGACGAAGGGGCTTGTCTGATGGCCTCTTGGGCTCATTAATCAAGTCGAGGGCCTCCAGGAGGGTCGGGCCCTTGTACCAGTCCAGGTTGGTGGATCTCTCAATCATGTTGTCTCCCTCAAAACCAGAAATCGGCACAAAATGGATTTTTTCGGGATTGTATCCAACCTTCTTCAGGTATGAAGACACTTCCTTCACAATTTCGTCATACCTAGCCTTGGAGTATTTGGGTGTGGTTGCATCCATCTGCATATACCAATTATATAATCAAGATTAGATCATGTAATGCTAATAATCACCAACTATGAAGCTAAAACAGAATGAGTTGGGTGTGAAAGGTATCTATTTATCTGACCTTGTTGCAACAGCAGATCATTTGCTTGACTCCGAGAGTGAAAGCAAGCAAAGCATGCTCACGGGTCTGACCGTCTTTGGAAATACCGGCTTCAAAACCACCAGTGGTGGAGTCAATGATGAGGACTGCACAGTCAGCCTGAGAAGTACCAGTAATCATGTTCTTGATGAAGTCACGATGTCCCGGGGCATCAATCACAGTGCAGTAGTACTTGGTTGTCTCAAACTTCCAGAGGGCAATATCAATGGTGATACCACGCTCACGCTCAGCCTTGAGCTTGTCGAGCACCCAAGCATACTTGAACGACCTCTTGTTCATTTCAGCAGCTTCCTTCTCAAACCTTTCGATCACACGCTTGTCAATACCACCAAGCTTGTAGATCAAGTGGCCGGTGGTGGTTGACTTCCCAGAGTCGACATGGCCAATGACCACAATGTTGATGTGAACCTTTTCCTTACCCATGATGGATTTGTAACTGCAAGTTTTGAATCAAAATATTACTACTATGCATTCTGATCAACACAAAGTTATAGATCAAAAAACTAGTATGAATAGACAGGATTTAATGAACAATGAGAACAGAAAATGTGCAATCAAATGTACCAACAAATCAAAAGCCTCAAATCAGAATGGACCAGGATAATATCACAACCTACAACAGAGCGTAGTAAATCACTACCAATACTTGACATGAGCAGTCGTGGAGACAATCAGACCTTAATAAATTCTCATGCAAAACAAAATAATGGAAGTTAAGTATAGTAACACCGATAATTTGTACTTTACATTTTGTAATTTTGTCACAGATCATGCGTTCCAAGCTGATTGAATCAAAACTTATACCACAAATTTACATAACTTATAATGTAAAACAATATGAATCCATGGCGATCAAGCTTCAAATGACACGAATCAATAGTCTCATGTAACTGAAATTAAAGTATATCCAAATACAGAAAGAACGGCTTCAGAAAACAATAACAGGTATACTCGGAAAGAAAATCCACCAGAACCTTGAAAAGCTTAAGGAAATTCCAACATCCAAACATCAAACAGATTTCAACATCAAAACATAAATCAGTATGTAGAGGCATAAAGAACACAAACGAAACACAAAATTATCACACGTTCGGAAGAAAGGCGAACAGATCTAACCTTTTCGACCGTAACCCTAAGGGAGAAAAGGAGATGTCGCCTAAGCTAAGCAGCCAAATGAATACAGGTAGAGAAATGAAATCGCACTCGTACGCTTTATATAGCGAGCTGAAACACGAGAAGTAGGGTTTCTTCTCTGTGCTCTTACGTAAGTGCCCTTGGAACTCAGAATTTTGAAACCCTGATTTAAGTCGACATTAAGCTAACGGATGTCTCATTGATTAGCGACAGGCGGCCACAGTCAAGGCTTCTTCACATGTAGTGATCACAATTTGCCCAAGTCAATACCCACCAACTTTTAACATATTTAAAGACATCCACATTCATTAACTTTTTTCTATAAAAAAGTTACACTCTCTCTCTCTCATCAACATATCTTTTCACTAATTCTCTCCCTATTTAAACACACACTCACATCCCTACACATTCATTTAAATATAAATATGAGACCCATTAAATAAAAAAAAAAGAATAAAAAAAGGCTTGCAACAAAAAAAGAAAAAAAAAATGAATTGAATAAAAAAAAAGCTTGCAAAGTACCGTTCAAACCATTGAACGAAAGTGGTGGTCCCATTCATTTGCACCATTAAATGGACGACTCACAATGGATTGAACATTAAATAGGCATTTAAATGAGTGAATTAACATGTCGTTGCGGATGCTTTAATTTGAAGTATTCGTTGCTTTAATTTGAAGTATTCGTTTGAGAATTTTAAAGATTTTTTAATAATTCTTTTTATAATTTAAGATTTAAGAGCCTTGTAAATTTTAAAGGGTATTTGAGATTTTAATAATTAATTTAAATTTTTTTAAAACTTTTAAAATCCTAAGATGTTTATCTGAGATTTCGAAAAGTCTTAACAAATTACGAAGTATTTAACTTATTTGACATTGAGATTTTACTAAGACTTTAAGATATGTTGATATTTCATACAGCTGTAAACGAGTCAAACCGAGCTCGAGCTCAGCTCATTAAATAAACAAGCCAGAATTTGAGATCGAGCTCGGCTCGTTAAGGCGTCGAGTTTGAGCCTTAACGAGCCAAACTATAAAAAATTATATAAAATTTTATTTTCGAGCCATATCGAGCCGAGCCGACCAAGCTAGCTTTAAATAAGCTCGAGCTCAGCTCGTTAAGGCCTCAACTCGAGCCCAACTCAAGCCTTAACGAGCCGAGCTCGTTTAATTTAACATCACTATTATTTCATAAACAAAACGTTATACGAAATCTCACCCAAATATTACCTCCAAACTTAAGGGCTTGATTGTTTATGGATTATTTCATTCTCATTTATTTCATACTCAAAAATCTAACTCAAATTTAACTCAACCCCATTATCTTTAATATTATTTATATAATTAAATATTACAAACTAATCATTCTTACACATCACATCAACTTCAATTCACTATTCATCAACTCACATAATTTTAACTACCAATCATTTATCTCCTACTTTTACATCAAATCAATTTTAATCATTTCATTTTTAATATTATTATAATATATTCTTAAAATTCCACTAGCAACTAACCATACCACCTTTTTTCAAAATTAACTATGGTTAACCAAAATAATTCATTTTGAACAAATTAATTCATAAACAATCACCCCCTAAGATTTCCAGGATTCCTTTTAAATCTTCACATCATAAAAAGTCTCAAATCTTAAAAAAGAAGTCTTAAGGGTGTATTCGTTTGGAATTTTGAGTGATGTTTTGAGGCTTTCTAAAAATTTCAGATTTAAAATGAATCCTATGAAATCTTAAGTCTAGTAGTAGATTTGAAATGAGATTTGGTATATTGTTTTTTCTTTTGAAATCACAGCAAATCTTACAAAATCATAACAAATATCAGCCTAAAACAAATTAAATACCCTAGTCTTTTGTAAGACTTTAAAATCTCAAATGAATAAGTCTAGACTTTTAAGAGTTTTAAAAAAACTAAATTAAATACATAATGATTTCTGAAGTCTTATATAATATTGTCTCAAATGAATACACCCCCTTAAAATGTCTCTTAAATTCTCAAATGAATACACCCTCCTAAGTTTGGGATGAGATTTCGAATAAAGTTTTTGTTTATGAAATTTCAACAAATCTTAAAAAGTCTTAGTAAATCCCAGTGTCAAATAAGCTAAATACCTTGTGGTTTGTTAAGACTTTTTGAAATTTCAAATGAATACCTCTGGATTTTAAAAATTCTAAATTAAATACACCCTCCTTAGTAATAAGTATTTAAAAAATAGCATTATGACTATTAGCACGGTATTTGTACATTATATGGTTACTTAATAAAATATACATATTTGTACCGTAAAAAAGATGAATATAACATGGTTTTATTTAAAAATATGAACATTGAATATATGATAATAATAAATAACTAACACCTCTAGTATGCTCCAGAAAATGTGGATACTGTCGACAATAATTGGCTCTCCAGACGTTCATGCCGCCTTTAGCTCACAGACACAAAGAAGTCCATGAGTGGATCTCAGTGCACAGCTGCAGAGCGAGTCAACCACATTGCTTAATTATCACATTCGCTGAAGCTCAGTATTTAATAAATTCAAACAGTGATACGAGACCCGCAGTGTCGAGTACGAGAATGGGAATCTCGTATACATCACATCCATCTTATGTCTTGAATACTCCAGTATGTACCTGATAATACATTAAATAACATTAGATCCAATGAAATTCATAATTAATGTAGTAATAAAACAGTAAATATGTGTAACTTAAGAAATGTACTTGACTTGTGTCAGTTGAGACTCAATCTCCTTAACAACCTTTTCCCATCCTATACCGAGCGAACCGGTCGACATGTTAAGCCACTGCTTTAACACAGCGTGGTCACTCTCCACCCTACACGAGGTTTTGTTACCAAAATGTGTTACAGAATTAGTCCACGCTTTGACAAACTTTTCCTAGTTGACTAACCATGTGTGTCTATATTGTAACACTTTCTGAAACCTCTCCCACCGACCATACATTTCAGCTACGGTAGTGTTGTATTGACACTCCATTTCCGATTCGAAAACCTCTTTCCATCTGCCGTGCGTGAACTTCTGAACAATTTCCCTATTTTTTCCAAGGAGTCGATAAACTCTGCCTTCCACATCCTTGTTGATATACCACGTGCAAAGTAAATGTGCAGATTCTGAAAAAATCTTCAAAATAGGAGTCATTATTTCCAACTCTCTGTCAGTGACAATGGTTGTAGGAGGTACATTAGACCCTATAAGATGTCTCAACGTCTGTAGAACCCAGTGATAGTTGTACTCGCTCTCGTCCTTGATAATTGCATATGCAATTAAGAAGATCATGTCGCACGGCGTCATCCCAACAATTTCCACCAACAACATCTGGTACCTGTGCAAAAGAGAGCAACAAGAGAAAACTTCGAATTTAAAAAACTTACTCAAACATACTAAGTGAGATTCATACTAATTTGTTATTTATAAAGTAACATGCCTCATGGTTTTGTACGTCGAGTCTATACCGATGTACTTGTAATATGTTCGGAATAGGTTGACTGCTCTAGGATGCGACATGAACAGATGTGTCAATGCATGTGTCTCCTCATCAATATGTATAAATTACATATTTGCTCTCCAAAGCCAATTGCAGAATCTGGGTAGCCACATCTCTACCCTGGAAACTATCTCTCCGCAATTGATCTGTATAGTTATACACATGTCGTCAAGTAGCATTGAATTCTGGGTTTTTTTCCTGGATCGCAGCCAAAATTACTGTTGGTTTTACCTGAGCACCAATCATATCATGGACAATATCTTTAGATGAAGCGTTAATTCCGCTCATTTGTCGATAACCCTCAGGATATACGACCAATGCATGATTATATGCGTTACCCTATCACCATCAGTACATACACGGATCCTCCAAGATGTAGATCGTGCCACCCGTTGGACAACTATCCGAAACGAGCAGTCGCACGCTTTAATCTTTGAACATCTGGCAGCAGCTCGATCTAAATCACTTAAACTACCTCTGTAACGTTCACCTCGCGAACACCTCAACACCTTCATCCTTCCATCTTTTTTGTGTGAAGAAATTCAAAACCAAATAGAATTGCCATTTTTTTTCCCCATGTAATAGCTTCTGCATCACTACTGAATACTTCCTCCGTAATGAAAACAAAACTGTAATCAATATCGTCCCGTCCAAAAATCTTCGAATGTTACCTGCAAAATATTATGATGTTAATAATTTTACATGATAATCAATTCTATTTTATAACATAAAAATTGCTATGTTCTAACATAATAATAATAATAAATTCTAATTTATAAGATAATCAATTCTAATTTATTACATAATAATTTCTACTAACATAATTTCTTTAATAAATAAAAATTAACTAATTAAAAAAAACCGACCGGCCGGCGAAATTGGCCAGACTGCTGTCGGTCAGTCGACCATGGTCATGGCCGACTGCATATTGCGGTCGCAATCGCATGTCGGCCGGCAAAAATCGTACCTCATTGTCGGACATATTTTCGCCGGAAATCGCTTGGTCTCAGAGAATTTACGATTTTTTGAGCTTTTTGGAAAAATGTCAGGGGCAAAGCTGTCCAAGGAGAGGCGGTACGTAGTAATAGGGGTGCAGTGTTCAGTAACACCCAAAACTTTTCTTTCTGAAAAACTTGTCTTTCTCTGGGCCCTTTGACCTCACTACTAGGCACCGGAAATGAGCTCAATATCATTAATAATCATAACATTATAGTCCAGTCGTCTCCCACGCCTTTAAGCAATGGCTCGCGGGGCACTGGAATGGTTCAGTCCGATTCCATCTCACTGTTTAGTATAGAATTGTGGGTATGAGGTAACCGAGCTACCCGACTCGGGTCGTTCTCTAAGGAAGGCTATTCGGAGCTTTCGTTGCTATTTAATTGCCCAAAAACACAAAACGAGAAAAATAAATCCTAAACATCTTAATCAATAATTGGCGATTGATTTTAAGCTAGATCATTAAAGAAACGAGCAACGAGTAATTAAACAAGCAATCTAATTAAGAATCTCTAGCTTACTAAACCGGTGAACTAAAAATCAAGTAAAGAGAGCGAAAGCAAGAGAAACGAACTTCATCTACTACACTTAAGAGCTAAAGCCGAAAATCCTACAACGAAATAACCGAGCTCAATAGCAAAGTCACGATGTTTCTAGTAGAAATTCACACTCCAACTATATCAAGCACAATAGAAAAGCTAAAAAATAACGAGAACACGAAAAATAACTAAACGACGAACATAATCCATAAGACAAGCAAGCCTTAATTACTTCTACTAACGAGATAGCAAAATAGGTGCAAAAGTCGAAATTATAAGCCTTAAAATTAAGTACTCACACTTCTAATGCGTGCTTGATCGAAATCGGAACGAAAAGATACAAAATTGCATAAAAATAAAAGTCGCTGGAAAAAGTCACCAGAAAAGTTGTCGAAAAATCATGACATAAGGAAAATCTAGAGAGAAAACTAAAATAAAAGACATTTCCTAAAGTAGAAAAGTAGCAAATGAAATCTAGGTGTCCTAAGTACGAATGACCAAAATGTATTTATAGTCCAGCTCAAACACACGCTGGATTCACGCACATTTGATAAAACACTCTTAAGGTCGCGGGCATTTCCGTTGGTCACGGACTTGGGTTGGCACGGGTGCAGCGCGAGGAAGGTCGGGTGTGGCGTGAGGATAATCGACACTCTCAATGTCGCGGATGGATCCACGCGCGCGGACGTGTGGGTGGACAGCACTCTCGAGGTCGCGGTCTTTGCTGCATGGTCGAGAGTCCGGGCGTCGCGGCACTCGCGAGGTTGCCAGTATCTCCGTGCGGCGTGGGCTTCCTGAGCAGCGGCAACGCGCGTCTGCGAGGTCACGGGGGACGACGCGAGGTAGAGAGTGTAGGCAACGGCAGCGTACGTCCGCGAGGTCACGGGGGACGGCGCGAGGTCGCAAGTGTGGGTCGGCTTTGGGATCTTGGATCAACACGGCTCGAAATACTCGAAATGAAAATAGCTCATACGCAATGGCTCGAAACTTCTCGAAAGTAACTCAAAATTCTTTAGAAATCTCGTCTCTCGGGACTCGGTTCGACTCTTCTCATTCGACCTCTAAATGATCCTGAAATTTCACCAAAAAGCATGGAAAAGTATGCCAAAATATAAAATAAAAACAAAGACATACAAAACACACGAAATACGATAAAATGGACCGGTCGACACTAAAATAATCCTAAAAAGACTCGACTAAGGCACATAAAACACATGAAAATAAGCACAAAAACATAATAAACACTCACACGTCCGAAGCAATGTCTCATAGGACACTTGACCTCGGTGCGTAGCAGTGGCCAAATAATAATTAACATAATTTTTCTTTTCTTATTATGTCGTGCATGCGTGATATTTTCTTTAACTGTGAAACATCCATGCACGTGCTCATGAAATGTATGCCATGTCTAATAATGTGGGATAAATATCATCGATAATAGCAAATACATATCAATCTTAATATACATCACCTTTCACATAAGCACATAATAGAGTACATCAATATTCAATTTATGCATTGTAGTTGCAGATGGACTTTTACTTAACTCGAGTCCTTAGCTTATAGCTTTACAAATCTCAAATCAACTCGTACGTTTAACTTGATCTAATTCGAACAAAATAAGTACATGAACTCATAATTTAAAAGTGTCGGATATTATTTCTTATTTATTCACGAACTTACCATAGGAATAATTAATCAATTACCAATACCAACTAATTTTTAGGCGTAATAGTGTTAACAAAATCAATATTCATACTTTAAATGCAACTTCAACTAGAAAATTCATATTTAAATAATTATTGCTCCTATAAAATCCCAAAACACAGACCTAAAGTTCATATGTAGTCTTCAAACATAGACGAGCATATTAGAAGGGTGAAACTAGACAAAACTGAAGAGAAACTGCAACAAAATCTGACTACAAACATCTAGGATCCGTGTTCGTAATTCAAACATAGCTTCAAACTGAAATACGTATTATAGTGATTCCAATTCTAATAAGATCTTAAGACACACCTTTAAAATTCATATTTAGTCATCAAACACAAACGACAACTTTTAAAAGGTGTAAAATGTATCCAAACAGAGAGTAACAGCCAAAATTCTGGGTGTGGGTAGTGATGCTGCGTGCATGGTGTGTTGTTCAAATATTTACGGTCGCCATGTGCGTTAGTCTGGTGATATCTACGAAATGAGCTCATGAAGGATGGTTAGTTTAAACCATGCAAGTGGATTAAGTTTGGACATAATAATAATGGTTTCAGTGCTACTAGCTTCGGTTCAAGATGTCGATTAATTTGATTGTCGGTAATTAACTTAATGGACAGACATTATATATTAAACATGGGGAGGTAATTTGGATAATTATTATTGAAGCTCAAATCGTAATTTTGGAATTAAATTGGGAGTTGCAATAATACTACTTTAGTGGAATGACTATATTATTCGTGTATGAGCGGAGTGTGATTATCCCACAGTTAGGCCCATATACGGGGAGCCCAATTTAATGCCTCCTTAGGGTCCCTACTGTAGCCCTATAAAAACACCATACTCTTGGGATTGGGAGATAGATATGCCACACGCATAAACACGTTCGACCAACCTTAGTTTTCTCGAGATCTACGAGCTTGTTTCCCACGATGATAATCGGAGAAGTGTCAGGTAATACAACAGAAGACCTCGAGTCGACGAGCCATGGTGATTGGCCGCGAACACTTGAGTGACATCCCCGCATGGCCGAGACGCGACTGCCCAATCCCGGACAACAGCATCTCGCGAGCACGACTCGCACATAGTCAAGCTCCGCTCACATCCGCCAGCAACCCGCGAAATCCTCGCTAGTACCCGTAGATGACCCACGCACGCAGTCGATCTGCGACACCCTCAGCCGAGTTTTGTCTGTGACTAGGTGGCCCGTGCGCTGCAGCCTGCGACTGCTACACGATTCGCGCGGCCCATTCGACCTATGTGATCATTCCAGTGAATCTGAGACATCCGGCGAGTGAAATCATACGATCTCTATCCACGAAAATCTACAACATCTCAGAAGTCTGCGAATTTTTAAGTTGTAAGTTTTCTACACTAAACCTTAAATCCACTGCTCATAGGTTTAATTTGTATAATTTGATTCGCGACTTGTACATAGATGATGATTTTTAAGTTGTAAGAAGAGTTGGGCAAGTGTCGAAGACCAAAATCTGACATAATTAATGCTTTCGAGCCTTCAAGTCACTTATTTGAATGACCTGAGAGGAGGGTTCGGTAAGTGCGAAGACCAAAATCTGTCATGATTAAGGCTTTTGAGTTTACCGGTCGCTTGTTTGAATGACCCCAGAAGAGGTTGGGCAAGTGCTGAAGACCAAATTTCGACATGCTTAAGGCTTTCGACTTGGCTGGTTGTTTGTTTGAGCGACCCCAAACGAAGGTTAGGCTAGTGCTGATGACCAAAAATCGACATGACTAAGGCCTTCGAGGTGGCCGGTCGCTTGTTTGAACGACCTCAGAGACAGTTCAGGCAAATGTTGAAGATGAAAACCCGACATGACTAAGGCCTTCGAGTTGCCCGGTCACTTGTTCGAATGACCTCAAAGGAAGGTCGGATAAGTGTTGGAGCCTT